CTCAGAAGAGAAACTGGCCTGTAATTACTAGCTAAAGATGGATCGTCTTTCTTAAATAGAGGCAATACATGCGCTGTTTTCCAGTTGCCTGGAAATGTTTTTTCTGAAAGTGATCTATTAAAAAGCATGCATAAGGGTTTTGATATTGTATGTTTAGTACTCTTTAACATTCGATGACTTATGTTGTCTGGACCGGTAGCCTTATTAATATTCAAAATTGAAATAATATCGAGAACCTCTTGAATTTGTATTTGAATATCAGAAATATTTTCGTTACATAAATAATACAAGTTTGGGAGTATGCAGTTTTTACTTTCTATATTTGAAACTGATGAAAAATATCTATTCAGTGTTTCTATTTTGTCTGTATCTGAGAAGGCTAGTTTAGACACTCCATTTTCGTAGTATTGTAATGGGGGAATTTCTTTTGTTGCTTTCACTTTGAATAAATCTCTCATCAATTTCCAGTAAAGTTTACCGCTTTTACTACTATCATTCAAAGCGATTTCAACATTATCGTAGTAATTAGTTATCGCGTATTTTTTCATGTTATTAACTCCGTTATGGACTTGCCTAAATTTTGCCCAATCAGCATCTTTCTTTGTTCTTAAGGCTTTGTTACGTAAGCGATCTCTAGTCCTCATGGTTCTACGCAACACCGAATCATACCAGGGCTTGTCACGGGGCCGTATAGTTATTGTTTTTTCGGGTACACATTCGCGAACACATGATATGAATTTTGAGGTAAAATTTTCAACAGCCACATCGATATTTTGAGCATTGTTTATTAAACATTCCCAATCACAATTATCAATTAGAGAATTTAGTTTATCAAAATCTGCGTCTTTATAAACCCAAATATTACGTTTATATGCTTGATTGAGATTAAAGTCAATAGCAAGAGAAATGTAAGTAGCCTTATGGTCACTAACGGTCGAGTTTACTTTGAGTGTGCCAGATTCGTGTACCTTTAAACCTGGTGTTGAAAGAATTAGGTCAATAAGTGTGTTCGACATGTTTGTTATTCTCGTGGGTTCGTTGATATTGTTGACAAGATTATTACTGGACATTATATCATGAATTATGTGTGTGCGTGGAATACTTAGAAGATCTACATTTAGGTCACCTACTATTATTATATTGTCTGAGATTTCTCCGACCTTTTCTATACACCAGGATAAATTTGTCCAGAACATGCCATCGCTGTGCGGAGGGCGATACACACAACAAAGAAAATAATTACAGGTATGATTTTCAATTTCCAACCAAATACATTCGGTACCGGCTGGTTCGAATTCAGGACGTCTGTGTGCTCGTAATAAATCGGATAGATATATCATTACCCCTCCTCCGAAACTGTTTCGGTCAGCACGATATATAGTTTTAAATCCATCTAGCTTTAAACTTTCCTCGCTTACATTAATATCAAGATGTGTTTCTGTAAAACAGAGTATATCAAAATCATGTACTATTGTGTTTAAATACGCTATCTTGTTCCTAATACTGCGAATGTTCAAGTGAATTATGTCAAGGACATTGACTATGGTAGGTCCCGGGTTTACCTCGATGTCACCGCAAGATATGTTTATTTGCTATTTATTTTGAAGAAGAGATTATATTAGAAATATTTCTAATATATTTTTCACATTTATATGCACTCTCTAGTTATAAATGACATAAGAAATGATGCTATATTTGCTATCTAACAAAAAAGCAAAAAATATATATATGCCCATTTCTTGATGTTTTTTCTTATGGGAAACATAGAGAGCAGTGTAGAACATACATAATTTTTCTGTCACTAATCAGTATTGGATAGATACATCTTTGGTAAAAATATAAAGCTTGTTCTAGGCTGCTCTCTGTATTTTCTGAAAGAAAAACTGTTTGAAAATAAGCAGTTTTATACAAAATATGCTAAAATGGCGGGAAAACGTGATTTGTATGATGTCATATTTCTAAAATAACGGCATTTTGATCAAAATGAAAATGACCAATAAAGGTCGCATATAAAGCTGTACAAATTAAAGCTATACATAAAGTAAAATTAAGATATTCATTTTAAGGGGCCAATTGAGACACTTACCTTATATCGCTCTTTGGGACACAACGCACTTTGAAATTTTTTTTCAAAGTGCGTTAAGAGTGTACATAAAATTTTTTTATCGTGGGTACATTTAACGCACTTTGAAAAAAATATGTATAAAATAAAAAAAAATCTAGACTTAGATTTTAGTAATTGAGAGAATCAATTTGTAATAATGATATCTTTCGAAAAACTTTTTAATTTAATTATTACATTATTCATTTAACCTCATTGAGAACAAGGAGAAGACGATTAGAGGGTCTCTCAGCCACCTCTCTCTTTTTTGATACATTAATATTGTACATAGCCGTCGGTAGCAAATTGAAAATGGACCCCCCTCCCCCCAAGGTAAGCCTCAATTTTCAATGCCTATATTATGTATATTTTTGCTAAACATTTTTGTGCCTAAGTCCCCTCTACCGATGCCTACACTAACCCAAATGTTTGTCTAACTGGTATAAAGTTGAAAACTATCAATAAATTTTAGATGAAAATAAATGCATGCAAACTGGGGAAAAAATAAGTACAGTAAAACATTCTTAAGAGAGAAAGAATTTCAAAGTATGGAAAAATCAAAATCGCTCACTTTCACATCCTGAAGTGACCTTATCACCGAAAAGTTATCAAACGGGTTCAATTATTTATCACACCTAAGATGTACATACACATTTTTTTTCAAAGCGCGTTAATATGGTCGATTTTAACGCACTTTGAAAAGAAATTTTATTTTTTCAAAGTGCGTTGACTTGGTTCAAAATTTAACGCACTTTGAAATTTTTTTTCATTTTAGTGCGTTGTAACAATGCCTTTTTATAAAATACAGGCTAACTGGTGGTGCAACAGGGCAAATCATTTTCATTATTTATATTTATTTACCATATGTACCTGATACCACTTCATGGGTTCTCCTTATGATTTGTCTTTCTCATGTTCAGTAAATACATATTATGGAAATAATAGCATTTATGTCGAAATTGTTTTCCATTGAATTATTTAACCTGTATTGTTTCCCCGATTGTGATACCCCCCTTTTCATGGAGAGAATTATCAGTGTTTTTGTTTTCTCTGCTCTTGTTATGTATTGTTTTATGGACTTTTGATCGTGAATACTATACAATTATGGACTCTTTTTGTGTTGAATATGGTTTGTTATTCACCAGAAAAATATTCATATTGACCGAGGCGAAGCCGAGGTCAATATGGATATTTTTCTGGTGAATAACAAACCATATTCAACACTTCGCCTCGGTCAATATGAATATTTTTCTGGTGAATAACAAACCATATTCAACACCAAAAGAGTCCATAATTGTTTTATTATATAGTAGGGATTTGATTAAATAAGACATTGAAGGCTGTATGACGACACCATTTTCATTTGCGATCTTCCATTGTTGAAAATACAAAAAAAAAAACTACAGATTCGTCTTTGTAACCTCCGTGTTTTCCTTTCCGAGTTTTGCTACGTGTAAGACGTCCAAATGTTAAAAAATAATCCTGAAATAGGTTTGAGGTATTGTTTTTCTGCTCAGATACGTAGCTCGCTTCGGCCGTTGCAACCATTGTTTACAACGTTGTTTGATGTTTTGATTGTGACGTCACCATGCCGCTGCACGCGCATTGACCCTCCGGTGAATACCGCCTAAAATCCAGTGAATATTATACACCTATTTACTGGCTATGAGGACAATAGCAAGTTTATCGTTCCCCAAGACAGCAAACTATTTCCCGAGGCGCAGCCGAGGGAAATAGTTTGCTGTCGAGGGGGTCGATAAACTTGCTATTGTCTTCATAGCCAGTAAATAGGTGTTTTATTATACCGATGCTGACTTAACTTTTGTTAACTTTTGGGAGTCCAGGGTACACACAATTATGATATTCCATATTATACCGATGCTGACTTAACTTTTGTTACGTCATAATATATACGCGTCACAATCCGTTTAAAGCCAGAAGTTTTCCGAGATGAAAAGCGAGGGAAAGAGAATGCTGCCGGTGAATAGTTTGATGACTATTTCACCATGGGCAGATAAAAAAACTATTTCACAGTAGGGGCTGTTTGGAAAAGATAGCATGTTTATTCGTCATATTTTTATATTGAACAAATTCACAGAGGTATAATAAGTAGTGTTATGAACTGTTTGCGCTTGTATATATTATATAGGGAATATAAATTGACTATATAATAATGTTCGTTATCTCCATATGTTTCACAGATATATTCATTGTGACATTGCCTTTCACGGGATACCAACATATATGACCTTTTGACTTGATCTTGAAGTTTGACCAACTCTTGCAAAAAAAAATACCAAACTTTATCAACTTTTTTAAAAGTTAGTACTAGGGTTTTAAAATTTTCCAGATATATGAATTAATCTTGTGAATACTGAAGAAATATTCCTTCTGATACATGTACCAAAATTATTGAATTTTTAATTTTGACCTTAGAATTTGATATACTTTTGATATACTGAAAGGAGTCCTTTTTTTGGTTGAAACATTTTTGATCCCTTGACGTTGACCGATTTTGGAGTTTGAATGGCAGTTGAGAATTTTCAAACTTTGCTATAAGGCGCCATCAACGTTTCACAAAAGCATGATCAAGATTTTAAAGAAATCTTGACATTACTGTATTTTTTCTAATATTTCTATTAAATTTATTCCTTTTTGCATATAAAACTTTATGCATTTTAGATTTTAATTTGTTTGTCTAAGAGAAAAATCATGACGAAATCGTTACATTTTATAGTGCGCTTTAGAAGAAAACCAACCTTAAGTTGGTTTAATATTTTATAAAGTTTTGCATATATTTGAATGACATTTTGAAGCGAAGGTCTAAATGAATAGAATATATGTATATATTCAGTGTTAATAAATTCAGATTTTAAAGGGTTTAATTGCTAGTATGATATTACTTTTGGCCCACACCTCGTTCTAAAGATATTATATACATTTAAAATTCATAACTTCTCATAAATATCATCATGCTACGACCATGATTTCATCAATAATTGTAACATATGTAACATACTTATCAATGTTTCCTTTATGATCTCGAATTTACGCAGTAGATATTTAAGGGTAGGGACTTCAGTTTTCAAAAGTGTGATTTGATTTTCCGGCAATGGAAAGTCCTCTACAACGTCAAACGTATTGTTTCTTCTCTGACATTCGGCCTCCTTTTTCTTCACTAGTTCTAAAACGTAAATATATCTTAACATTTACACATATGTCTGTCTATTCAAATCATTTACTTCTTTAAAATTATGACATGAAATTAAGAACCACTTTGAAAAAATAAACTTGTCATTAGAAGTGTATTCAAAACTTTAATGAAATTTTTAAAAGGGAAAAATTCTTCGACCGGTGTCATAAAATTAAACTCACATGATGCATCAATGAAATTTTACATATTTACATATTCTCTCCATCTATAGAAAAAACTTTGAAACAATTTTAACAAATAAATTATCAATGTTTTCAAGCAATCGTATGACCACTAGGCGAAATCTCAAAACGCAATGTATTTTCAACTGAATTGTAATGGAGAAAAATCTTATCTAAGCATTTTTTTATCCTGCTATCACATTGACTCAAATGTGTGGTGAGACACCGATTGTTATATAGGATTACCAATTTTCATCCTTTTTAAAATTTCTGTAAAATCATTTCTTTAACCTTAAATTGAATCCATAGCTTCTAAAGATGAGGTGTAAAATATAATTACAAATTTTATCACACCCTTCAAAAAAAAAATAAATAATAAGACCTCCCTCTAGTTTATATGGTAAGCAATCTGTGAAAAGCTCCGCAGCGTCCCATGTTTGTCTGTTCTTACACATACAAAATTAATATGTCACTTGTGACACAAGTGTTTATTTCTAGGAAATCAGCATGGTAATCAAAATTCTTTAAAATATTATATATGTGAAACATTTATCTTTAAAACTGAATACCTAATATTTGCCCCTTGATCTTCTTTAGGTCTCTAGTAAGCTTTCCTTTTACAAACTCTGTAAACCGTCTTCTCATTTCTGGAGTTGTTTTATTTTCAATGTCTGAAAAATATTAACCTTTTATTCATTTCACTGCCTTTTTTATAATAAATGTATGAGTGAATTTAATTTTTACCAGATTCAAAGCTCTGTCTAGACACTCCTGCCTTTTCCCATACCCAGCCTAACTATACAAAGAAAAAGCAATAGTTAAATTAACTTCCAAAAACAAATTGTACACTCATTTAATTCAAAGTTATTGTACTATTTTTACATCTATCTTAGATTTTGGAATTTTTTTGCTGATTTTAATGAATTTCTATTAGGATAACGTAATTTCTTTTAAAAAACAAGAATGTGTTAAATTATAAGTGAACATTGCCTACTCTTTTTGAAACATACGTTAAGAATAATTTTCACAGATTTGGTTACCTGATTGTCCACTTCTGAAGAAGATACGGTAATCCAAGTAGATAAACTTAGGAAAATAAATGCATTCATCCACATACCTAACATATTGTCTATATACACACTCAATAACCAGACTTTTCACCCTCGGTCACTTAAATAAAAGTGATGAAATATGATGTGTCAGAATTTCCATCTGTTGTTAACAGTGAATCAAGAACATAAATCAGGTAGCATGCTAAAATCTGCCCTCTCTTCATAACAACTGATTTACTTGAACTTTTTAGGAAAGTTTAACAATCCCATACTTTGAAATCACATGCTTTCGTGGGGTCAAATTTTCAAGGTTTGAGGAAAAATTTTTTTAGGGGAATTTTCTAGAATGTTTAGTTGCAAAGCAAAAGAAATTTTAAATGTTATAGTGGTCTCAAATTCGCAGAATTTTCTTTGCCTCGAAAACAACGGTAATCCGACCTACGAAACCTAGTGATTTTGCAGTATATTTCATACCAAATATAGGAATAAGAAAGATTTTTAAAATTGTGTGTATATTTTTTGTAAAAACAAATTCATTAAGTACAATAAATCATTTTCGGTGGACTCGATGTTTTAAACATGCACCAAAATGTTATAAACAAGATGTGTTTGTGAAACACTATGCGCCCGGCGGCAACAAAGTTCAAAAAAGATATTTTTAGCATATAGGTCACAGTCAAGGTCACAAGGTCATTGACCATGATATTATTGGAAAGAACTTTATTTGTAGAGTATGCATACCAAATATGAAGTCTATCTTTCATGGTTCAAAAGTTACGGCGAAGGTTAAAGTTTGCTGATCAGAAAAAGCTATTTTTAGCATATAGGTCACAGTCAAGGTCACAAGATCATTAAACTTGGTGTCATTTGAAAGGACTTTATTAGTGGAGTATGCATACCAAATATGAAGTCTCTATCTTTCATGGTTCAAAAGTTACGGCGAAGGTTAAAGGTTGCAGAAAAAGCTATTTTTAGCATATAGGTCACAGTCAATGTCACAAGGTTATTGAACTTGGTGTCATTTGAAAGGACTTTATTAGTGGAGTATGCATACCAAATATGAAGTCTCTATCTTTCATGGTTCAAAAGTTATGGCGAAGGTTAAAGTTTGCATGCAAAAGGACAGACAGGATAAAAACAATATACGCCACGGATCTATCTATCCGGGCGCATAAAAAGCAGTGGGGATTAACAGAGCTTAACTGGAAAATTAACAAACTTGTTTTATTTTACCGAGTACCCGGGTACCTGATCGGAACATTTTCCCAGTAACCGATAATCACATATTGACCGATTTAACATCTTTGCTTTAAAGGCTATTGTAAATGTTAAAGCCTTTCAATTGATATATTTACACTGATTGATTGTATATTGTTTAATGTTTCTCTGGAAAATTTTTCATTCATATGGAGACGCCAACACTTGCCGGTGGAGAGCTGCAATTTCTTTTTCCTATACTCAGCATTCCTATTCATTGGGCAGGAGGGATCTTTTTCGTGCCAGTACCTACTGCGACACGTGACCTCGATTTATACGGTCTCATCCGAAGGAACGGTCTCCATGTCCCACATTGGGATTCGAACCCGCGATGTAAGGATCAACTCCCTACTTCGCGACTCTAAAGCAGATGCTCTAACCACTGCGACACGCGGGCGACTCTTTACTATGAAGAATAAGATAAATTTTCTAATGGCAAAGCTCTTGCAAAGCAGTGATAACTGGTTAGAGCGTTTCGTTTACAGTAGCGAATTATCAAACATGTGTGGCTTTAAAATTTTTGAGTACAGTTCCTTGGATGATACCATATCCATGCAGTAAAAATGTATACTTGCCACATGTAAAAGATGTGGGCACAAAAGCATTACTGAATGCAGCCTTCTAGTGGGAGTAAAACACAAAGCCGTTGGCCACATTGCTAACCTGAACACATTACATATAATCAGCGACAAAAAAGCAGTAGTCAGTCCAGCATTGAAAGGTTATATATACATGCATTGCTTATAATAATAATAATAATAATAATAATAATAATAATACTTTATTTATAGAAGGTAACCCGATTAGTGCAAGCACTAGTCTTCCTCAGGGCCTTCTTTATAACATATATACAATGTTTTATACATTAAAGACAATAATTACAAACATGAAACAATAAAATATAAACACTTTGTTACAATAGAATAAATTAAATATTGGCATTTCATTGAAAAGAAAGGAAAACATAAATTTCATGTAGAACCAGTACGTTTCATAAGTAAAAAATTTTCAACACTACTTTTAAATATTGCAAGGGATTGGGAATTCCTAATACTAATAGGCAACTCATTCCAGATAATAACCCCCGAATATTGTAAAGAATTTTTGAATAAATTTGTTTTATATTTTGGTAAACGAAGTTCTGAATTTGTCTCTGAGCGTAATGTGTATGATCCAGAACTTTGAAATTCAAAAAAATCATGCATATAATCCGGAGACATATGATGAAATATTTTGAACATTAGAATGCTTTTCTGTAAATATAGAAGTTCGTAAACTGTTAACCAGCCTAAAATGTTAAACAACGGCATTGAAGGTGCATCATATTTTTCATTTAAAATAATCCTAGCTGCTCGTTTCTGAAGTTTGTATATTCTATCGATGTGAGTTTGAGGAGAGTTACCCCAAATAGAAAGGCAATATAAAATTGATGGTAAAATAAATGCATTATAAAATAGCTTTCTAGTATTCAATGGTAGAAACTTTTTAATTTTTCGTAAGGCAAATAATTTATAAGTAAGGGTTTTGCAAACTGCATCTACATGCGAAGTATATTGAAGAGTATGATCAATGTGAACACCTAATAATTTCTCTGTTCTAACATTTTCAATGGGATGACCAGAAAGTTGTAGTTGAAGATGAACGTTTTCTAATCTTGATTTCTTTTGGTGTGTTCCCATTAACATACACTTTGTTTTATCAGTATTTAAAATCATCTGATTCTGTTGACACCAGGTTTGTATTTGATACAGGTCATGATTGAGAGTTGCTTCAATATGTGAAATATTGTTACCATGAAAATGCACTGTTGTGTCATCAGCAAACATATCAACATTACAATGTTCAACAGATAATGGTAAATCATTGATATATAACAGAAATAACAAGGGACCTAAAATAGAGCCTTGTGGCACACCTGCTGTGACGGGCAGTGATTCAGATGTGTACGCACCAATTTTTACACTTTGAGTTCGATCATTTAAATATGATTGAAACCATTTTATTGATGTGGGATCAAAGTGGTAGCATTTGAGTTTACTAATAAGTATATCATGATTTACAAGATCAAATGCTTTGCTAAAATCCAAATAAGTAATGCCAACGAAATTTCCTTGATCTATTGCATGCAGCCAATTATCAGTTAGTTTTGTGAGAGCTGTCTGACATGAGTGAAATTCTCTAAATCCAGATTGTGCTTTCATTAATAGATCAAAGTGTGAAGTAAAGATGCGTATATTTTCTGCTACATGCTTCTCTAAAACTTTCGATATAGTTGGTAAAATTGAGATTGGGCGATAATTTCCTGGATCTGATTTATCACCTTTTTTAAATAAAGGAGTTACTTTTGCGACCTTTAACTGTGAAGGAAAAGATCCATTGATAATGCTAGAATTTATTAGATGTGTTAGAGGTTTGGATATTATACTAGCTGAAAGTTTGAGCAACCTAGGTCCAAGAAAATCTATGCCTGTAGATTTGTTTATGTCAAGCCTCTTTAACATATCAAGTACTTTTGTTTCATTAATCAAGGGAATTTCAAAAAAGTCCTGACCTCCAAGTTTTGTTTCAGTGTATCTTTTCAATTTTTCTGGTTGAAAACCAGAGAACGAAAGATTATTTAACAATTTTTTCGGAATTTGCGCAAAATGCTCATTAAAAGCATCTGCAATGTCTTGTAAATTATCAAGATTTAATCCATTGTACGTGATATTAGAGGGGGATGAATTTTTATCTGATTTTGAGGCAAGCTGATTTAAATGACCCCACATTTCTTTTGATGTAGAGCTATTTTCAATAACTGTCTTATAATACGTAGATTTTGCACCAGTAATTAATGAGGTGACTTTGTTTCTCCAAAATCTAAAATTTTCCATGTCTCCCTGTTTATGGAATTGATCTCGTATATTCCTAGCATCATTTATTTCTGGAGTCAACCATTTAGTGCGAAATTCTGATTTCACACGCTTTGTTTTAACCTTCGCATGCTTATTAAGTATAGAATTGAAAATATCATAGAAACAGTTTAAGATGTCATCAGGATCATGCAGAAGAATCAATTCATCAAAATCTGCATTGTTTAAATCGTGCAAAAAATCATTTTCATTAAAGTTTTTAAAGTCACGATATTGTATTTCAATATGTTTGCCTTTGCGTTGCATGCTGTTAGATCTTCGGGTGGCACATATTGGATAATGGTCAGACATTGCTACAGGGGGTACTGATATTTCACATATGTTAGCAGGGTGCGTAGTGTAGAAATGGTCAATAAGAGTTTTAGAGCTATTAGTAATTCTTGTTGGGGTGTTAATTAATTGCGTTAATCCCAAATCTACAATTGCAGATGACCAACTCTGCGGGGGGTCTTTGAGCAGATCTATATTGAAATCACCTGCAATAATCACTTCCTGATCGTCACAGCAGGTAGCGCACTGAACTTCTCTAACAAAATCGTCTACCCAGCAGGAGGGGGCAGATGGTGGACGG